AATGTACAGTCTTAAAGAGAGAGTTCACCCAAAAATGAAATTTCGTTCATTAATTACTCACCCTCATGTTGTCCCAATTTCATAAAAAAATATCTTCATTTGTGTTCTGAAGATGTACGAAGGTCTTACGGGTTTGGAACAACGTGAGAGTAATTAATGACAGAAATTACATTTTCTGGGTGAACTAACCCAATTACGAGATTAATCTTTCTGATGTTTAGAAAATGTAAATGCTCTCATTATCAACTCCCCCTCATGTCATTTTAAAAGTTTCAAACAGGACAAAAAACACGATAAAAGTAGCCTATGATTCTTTTATTGCAATGCCTGATTTTAATTTTAAAAAAATGTTCCCATCGAATGATTTACAGTTGACTTGCTTTTGGACCCTGAAAATCGTGTGCACATGTGCCCTGAGGACCAGCTGAAAACCCTGCTGGACAAACTGGATCTGGTGGCGTCTATGCGGACCAGCGGGGGTCGTACAAAACGCATGCGCCTGCTGCGCAGAGAAATTAACAGCCTCCGTCACAAGATCAGCCACCAGGACCGCAACCCACGACTGCTGAATGGGAAAATTAAAGAGAAGAAGAGCAAAGAGGGAAAGAGTGAGGAGAAGATGGATTACATAACCTCCAATACAGGTAACTTCAACTTCAGGTACTTCAACTTCAACTTATAATTTCAGTTAGTTGCTAACAATTTTTTTTTTTTTTACATTTTAAGTTAAAGTTTTCGTTATTCATATATTTTATTTTATTTCAGCTTTATTTCAATTAACATTAAAAAAAAAAAGTAGTTATTAAACAATAATTGTTATTTTAAACTGTCCAAAAATTACTTTTTTGGCAAAATAGACCTTGGCAGAACACTTACAACCCAGTCCATCAAGTGATGAATAATTAATTAGTTAATTAATTAATTAATTAATTCAAACTTCTTTATAAGTTATCTACAAGTTTAAGTTAACCATTAATTTCTTTCCACTGTTGAAGACCCAAAAAAATCAACATCGCAGAAAGTGCAAAAACCCACTTGTCCAGCCTCTTCACCTTTACCTGGAGATTCCCCACCAAACCCGCCTATGTTCTGCCTTGAGACGGGACGGACCACCACTCCAGCGCAGTCAAATAAACCTGGCAGCAGAAAACAGAGGGCGAAAGGAAAAGAAAGAGGCCTGAGAGAAAATCACGATCAGACTTTAGAAGAAGATGAGAACTTCCACACAAAAGAGGAGGACACCAGCCCTCAGGAGGATGCTGTGAACAGGGTTTCCTCCGCAGAGAGCCCATCTGATTCACCCAAGATGGGTGTGGGTCGTCGGACATCAATCCTCTTCAAGAAAGCAAAAAACGGAGCCAGACCAAAAAAGGACAAGCCTGTTTTATTGCAAAATGGAGTCAGCAAAGGCGAAAATGATGCATCGCCACAGCAGACCGCACCAGCCAAATTATTGCCAGCTCCACCAGCCCCAAAATCACCCTCTCCGTCCCCTCACCAGCTGAGATCCAGAGGACTGAGTACATGCTCGGACAACGAAGGCGAAAAGGCCCACTCTCGGCCAGAAGAGAATGGTACTGGAATATCTAAGACGATTACTCAAGTTTAATGACCAGTGATTTAAGTGCTGTCCATGGCAATGTGTTTAATATGCTAAAGCTCTAATGCTCTTTATTTAGGCTTCGCAAATGGACTCAAGAGACACAGCAGCCACTCATCCGATTCAGAAAGCTGCACTCCCACCTTCCCAACACACAGGTAATGGATGCTGTCAGCACTCTGAACTGAGTGCTTTAAATGCTAGGTTCCCTGTTTACACTTGGCTTGTGGCATCAGTGGGCCTGTTTACACCTGGTCACCTCATGTGTTTTTACTGATCGGATAGCTGTCTGATTTGTTAAAACCGTTCCATTTACACTTGGTCACATAAATGTGTATCCGCAAAACGAATATAAATCCGATCTTCAATTCCGGCGCTATATGCAAATTTAACGGAGTTCACGTCAACGAAAGCAACATATGAGCTGCATTTTATTTATCATCAGCTAATTTCAAGATCAAAGACTGCAACAGGAGAGAGAGCGGCATCAGCACTGGTAAGATCATTTAGTCTCACTACTTTTAATGAAGATGATTGTGTGTGTTGAGCGTCTGCGACTTACTTTCAGTTTTATTTGCGGCACTGCGCGTCGGCTTTCTGAAGAGATATTAGGCTACTCATCTGTGGAGATGTGTGTTGCAGTAGCGCTGTCATATCATATCAACATGCTCTCACACACTTATTTTTTTAACATTTTGGGAGGAGTAAAATTAACATATGTGGCTTCAACAACCAGATGCATTTCGACTTGTCCAGTTTCGTTTGGAATGCGTCTCAAATCACCTCTTGAAGTGGTTTGAGTGATCGGATTTAAATCCGTCTTGAAAGCGTTTCGGAGGGCATTTACACCTGGTCTTTTCCCGATCGGATAGCCATCCGATCAGAGAAAACGCATGAAGTGACCAGGTGTAAACAGGCCCGGTGTGTCACTGCATGATGAGAAAGTGCAAAAAAAGTTCACCCCAGAGCAAAATATACTTGTGCGATTTAATCTCATTATTACAAACATTTCAATTTCAATAATATTGTTTCCCTGGAAGTGGCAAAAATGTTTTAGCAATATGCAGATGTTTTTGCTAATCTTAAATTGCATACTATTTATTTATGAATTTAATTTGTAGTTTATAAATTAAATTAAATATTTATATATTTGAGTTTGTGCATGTTTTCTCATTGAATAAAACATTTATTTGCCTCAAAATATTTTTCATGCAATATCCCCAAAATTACCATAAGTATATGGATGGAAACCTGGTTATATGACCTGTTTTTACACCTGTATTTAGCACTGACCTCTTGAGATTGCATCACCTCACCTGACACAGATCTTAATACCAGGTGTTCAAGGTGCCTATTACACAGAAGTAATTTAAAACCATTTGTCTGCTAATGTTTTCTGCAGTTCCTCACCTCCAAAACGCAGTCGTGGTAAACCAGCTCTCAGTAAAGTTCCTGTTGGTGAGGAGGAGAATGAAGTTACTAATACAAGTGGGTCCAACAAAGACCTTGAAGGAACTATTTTGTTCTTTTTTTGTTTTGTTCTATCGTCATTTTGTCTTTACTTTTGTAGGCAGAGACACTTCTCAAAATGATGACGAGATGGAACCTCTAACCTTGGTTTGGGCAAAATGTCGTGGGTACCCCTCATACCCTGCAATGGTAAGGATCACATGCGGTTGCGCTTATGCTTGTGTGTCTTCATGAGACACTTGAATCTATAATAAGTTAGTATATCTATAGCCTAGCCTAAACTAATAATGGTTTTCAACAGGTTGTCGATCCTAACATGCCCCGGGAAGGAATTCTTCACAACGGCATTCCCATCCCAGTGCCTCCTACAGACGTTTTGGATCTGGGTACACGCAGGCAAGAGGAGACAGAGGAGAAGCTCTTTCTTGTGCTGTTTTTCGATACAAAAAGAACCTGGTAAGGTGAAATACATTTCATGGAATATATTTCAAACCTGCAAGCTTGTTTTAAGCCTGTTCATGTCATTGTTTTGCTATTAAGGCAGTGGCTACCATTGGACAAACTCCATCACATGGGCATTGACGACACTGTAGACAGACTGCGTCTGATGGAGGGCAAGAAACCAAATGTGCGGAAGTCAGTGCACATGGCGTACGACAGGGCCATGACACACCTGAGCCATGTGCAGGAAAACTCAACTTTTAACCCCTCAAATTTTATATAAAAGACTTCTGTCAAATGTATGTCTAAACTGACTGTAAGATACCAGTGAAGGTACGTTCATAACATTCAGATGATTATTGGTTTTTATACCAGTGGAAGGCAGATTTATAAGATCATTTTTTCCTACCCTCCAAAACTCAAGGCACATCATAAATCAAAACCTGGTTTTATTCACTTTTAATGTTCTCAATCAACCAATATTTCTAAGAATGTTTTTAATTCAGTTGTTCTAATTGCACTTATTTTTGTATGTTGACAATGTTTTGCCACTCGTTCCATTTTCGGCAGTTTTATTGAATGTGAGGTGATCGTATCACTTATGTTGCCAATGCACCAGGGTGTTCGGGCAGTACGACTCAGGAACTTTGTGCTAGAATGCATTTTGTAATAGTTTACTTGGATACATTTCTGGACTGAGGAAATGCATGTGCACAACAAAAGTCCTATTGCCCTTAGATTTGCTGGTGAATCATTCTAGCGTGCTTTTCGTCTTTATCAGATCTGTTGTCTTTCTGAAACGTCTGGTGTTTGACTACCATAGCTGTTTTACCTACTGTGAGATGCCATTTTATGCTATTCATTTCTTTGGTACTAACACCCAGCTCCTATTTTGTGTCCTTTTTAAGTTAATATGTGCCCGTTTATTTTAAAGAAAGGATGTGTCTGTCAACAAGCTTGTAATTGTGGGTGGAGATCACTGTGTAAATATAAATGCATGTATGTAGAAAATATGCACAGATGTGTTTTTAAAATCTGAAATGTAAATTAATGACAAACTTTGTACGTCATTTTAATTTATTCGGAGTTGTTATGGAAAAGTTATTTAATAGTAATTGAGAAGGTTTAATTTAACAGCTCTACAGAGCTTTATATTGTTCAGGAAGCATTACTACTTTAATGCAATTGTTCCTTAGTGGTCTAAAGTGAGAGAACATTATAGTATAAAATATTAAGTAGTCTCTTAGATCATGTACGCAGAGTAAAAGAGAAATGTGTTGTTTTTTTAAAGCCTGTGAAAAGCTAATAGTACCAAACAAAAAATGTCTGAAACAGTATTTTCTCAAACGAGAAATAAAAAGACTGTTGAGGTGATTTGTTTCTGTATAATTTCATCTGTTTACAAGTTGAACTTGAGCTATATCTTGATCTATTACCTGTTCTAAATTTAGCAATCATGTCAGTAAATAAGATTTCAAAATACAAGATGTACTTGAGCAACCTCAGATTTATTACAGCACCAATATATTATTCCTCTTGAATACAAATGTTTTTTTTTTCCAGAAAAGCAAACTTGAGAAAATTGCAAGTATTTTGTCATACACAGAGTATTTTTCCTATTATGTCCAGTGGTTTTAACCTACATTTTATGGTGATCTTGATCTTATGATTTGATGACGTCATAGTGCACATGCCAGAAAAGTAAATGTCACAATTCATGACTGGCAAATCCAACAGGAAACAAAAACTCATACACAACATTAAACTACACATGCTGCGCAGTAACCTAACTGAAAACAGAAATGAAAGAACATTAATCCCATAGTAAAGACAGAATTTTAAGATCTTCTGATATGTTTCAGCTCATGTTATATTCTTTAATTAAAATGGAGCAAGGTTTGGTCTGTTCGGTTTCAAATGCAAAACCATATAAGACAAAATCAAAGTGAACATCTAAAAGAATACATAAGTACAATGAACAACCAGAAAAGGTGCATTGTGACAATGCACAGCTCGAGCAGCCATGCTAAATTAGAGCTAAATTATTCTGATTCAGACATCAGGACACCAAATTTGATCATTTCAGTTTATCGCATTAACAGTTTCTAATCTATATCCAATTACATGACCAAAAAAAAAAAAAAAAAAAACTTTACTGTAAAGTAAAACAATCCAGTTACAGCTTCAATAATCAGCCATTGCCACCAGTTCTGAAGAAAAAAAAATCCACATTTTATTGGACCTTTTGCTGAGTAAAGTTGTTTCTGGTGTTTATAATTTTCACAAAATATGTTTGTTTTCTGTTTTTTTACTTAAATGTATAAAATCAGATCCAGTCCAGGATGTCAAATGGACAAACAAACAAACAGCAGCTTTACATAACTTATTTACCCACGGTGGATTATTTATGATCATTTGGTTGAATCATCTCCATTGTATTACTAAACTGAGTTAAGAATGCAGAGATGCACGTCCTGCCATTTTAGCGATTGGATCGCTGCGGGTCGGTGATCAGTGTCCATCTGAAACCAAATCAATGTAAATGGTCAGTAGATGGAGGGAATCTTGTAAAAGACCAAGAAATCATAATCCGATTCAGTTTGACTCTTACCTCCTTTAGAGCTCTTACTGGGGTTGGGGGTTGTGGAGTATTTCGGAGGGTATCGGATAAACAGACGATCTTCCTCCTTCTTGATCCAGCGCAGCAGTTTGGTGATGGCGTTGATGGCACAGGTTTTCGTGACAAGGGGGCTGAAGCACGTGTACAACTCAAATTTACTCGTGACCTGAAATGAGAAATTGAATTCACTTGCTTTGGGCAACTCGTAATTAACCTGAGAATATTTTCAAGGACGCAGCTAAATAATCAATCACAACGCGACTCCATTTGGAGCAAGGTCAGGATCCTAATTTGCATAATCTGCATTTGCAAATTTGGACTGCCGCTCGGAGGCCTTAAAGGTAACTCGATCTTTCAAGGTCTTGCCGGAGAGCGTGTGAAAGCACCAGGCGAGGTGGAAAGCACAACATCAACATGTTTTGCTCTCAAGAGTACTGAGAACAGATGCGTGTGACAGCAGTTACTGTTCACATACCCAGGCCAGCAGAGTCTCGCGTTCGGCCACGTGGTAGATGAGCTTGAGGGGGCGTGAGGTGCTGTGGATCCGGCTGTGCATGTCTCTGTACAGGTCCAGGAGTCTCATCTGCTCCTCCTCACTGCCGTAAGGGGCCTCCATCTCTGGGCTGCGCAGAGAAGCCATGAGACAGAGAAAAACAATAGTGTCTTTGTGCTTTAGATCTCATTTCTGAATGTCATTCATCAACATTTTCGGATATTATATTAGGGGTCCTACATTGTAAAGAACATCTCATGACAAACAGAGTGCTCTCAATAAAAGCCAATGCATTTGGCATCAAACAATAAGATAAATGAAGAAAGCGTGCTTTCGATTTCTGTCCTTAGTGAAATTAATTTGGGAAATATGTGAGAGGTTTACAGTGAAAATATTAAGCTCAGAGATACTGTTAAAAAAGTTATTTGTGGAGATGCTGAGGATAAATCTGATGTCAGCATTAGGGAAAGGCTTTTTCTCGTTTGCAAAGTGTTTGACATCAATTTTGCAAATCAATTTTAAAAAGTTGCCAATTGAAAACAAGTAGTTATTTATGTATTATTTATATAATATAGCACTTATTCATATTTTGAATAGCTTTTATTTTTATATTTTCAGTTTTCAGTCATTTTATGTTTTTTCATATTTATTAGTTTAAAAAAAATGTTAAAACTAATTAGCTTAATTCTATTTAGCTTTAATTTATTTTTATTTCAGTTTTAGTTTAAGTAATTTTAGTACTTCAATTTATTTTATTTCAGGTAGTTACCAAGGCAGCATTTTTGATTTTCGTTTACATTTATTGATTTATTATTGATTTTTGTTTAATATTTATATTTTAAATAAGTAAACCATTTTTAATAGTTTTAGTTCTAGCTAACAATAACCATACTGCATCATTCACAGGCATCCAAGCACATCCGATAAATCGCAAGGTGTTCATAACAAGCAGTAAAATATGAGTTAATCATATTAACCATATTCAAAAAAAAAAAGTAGTCCAGGTCACATTTTATCCAAATATCTAAAGGAGAAAATAAAAGCTATTATATCTTGCATGAAAAAAATTAAGACATTTTATGTAACATTACAATAATGCACTTTCAGTGTTATTTTTTTTATATATATTTTTTCCATTTTTTTTCCTGACAAAATAGAATAGAATTTAATATCTGCATTTATCAGCCACAACATAAAAATAATAATGACACTTTTTTTGCATCATGTTAATAAAAATTAGAGGAACAAATGTGGTAGACAAAAAGCACCTTGGAGAAACTCAACAGCTGTGCAAAATATGAAAAGACAATGCAGAAAAGCTGAGCGCATGTGGCGGAAGACAAAAGACAGACTTTCTTCTCAAATATTATAAACAGAAACATAAATAACACACGCACTCTTTTTGCTACTGTAGAGAGTCTAACAAACCCCCCCCCAAGCCAGATTCCCAGTGAAATGCTCTCAGACAGCAAATGCAGTAAGTTTGCTTCCTCCTCCTCTGAGAAAATCAATAATATCAGAAAGGCGATCAGCATATCCTTATGTGGCACTGAGGTAAGACAGATCAGACCACATCCTCAGAGAGTTACTATGTCTGATTTCGAAGAAATGAATGGTACAATTTTGGAAGAAACAGTACAGCACCTTAAAACATCAACCTGTGCTCTTGACACACTCCCCACCTCCTTTTTCAAAAGTGTGTTAAACAGCTTAGAAGCAGATCTCCTAGAAGTGGTAAACTCCTCACTTCTCTCTGAGACTTTTCCAAAGTCCCTTAAAACTGCAGTTGTCAAGCCCCTCCTGAAAAAGAGCTGGATAGCAACATATTGAGCAATTACAGACCAATCTCAAATCTTCCTTTCATAGGCAAGATCACTGAAAAAGTTGTCTTCAATCAGCTGAACAATTTCCTAACCTCAAATGGTTACTTTGACAATTTTCAATCTGGTTTCCGACCACATCACAGCACAAAGCCAGCGCTCATAAAGATAATAAAGGATATTCTGTTAAATAGTGATACAGGCAAAACATCAATTCTGGTACTACTCGACCTCAGTGCTGCATTTGACACTGTCGATCACGACATACTTCTTGACAGGCTGGAAAACTGGGTCGGGCTTTCTGGGATAGTCCTAAAATGGTTCAGGTCATACTTAGGAGGGAGAGGTTATTTTGTGAGTATAGGAGACCATAAGTCTGAGTGGACATCCATGACTTGCGGAGTCCCTCAAGGCTCAATTCTTGCGCCACTCCTGTTCAACCTGTACATGCTCCCAATGAGCCAAATAATGAAAAAGAACCAAATCTCTTACCACTGCTATGCAGACGACACACAGCTCTACTTAGCCCTATCGCCTAATGACTACAGCCCCATTGACTCCCTGTGCCAATGCATTGATGAAGTCAACAGTTGGATGTGGCAAAACTTTCTTCAGTTAAACAAAGACAAAACCGAAATCATTGCGCTTGGAAACAAAGATGAAGTTCTCAAGGTGAACGCATACCTTGACGGTAGGGGTCTAACAACTAAAAATCAAGTCAGGAATCTCGGTGTGATTCTGGAGTCAGACCTTAGTTTCAATAGTCATGTCAAAGCAATAACTAAATCAACATACTGATACTCAGGACTGGATCGATTCCATTCCTAGAGCTTCCGAACAAATGTGTTTTTGGGGTGCGGACTGATGAGGCAGTGAACCCGAGGTTACCCCGTGAGTCAGTCCTGGAGCTCCTCCTCTCCGATTTTAGGGAAAAATCGTGTCTATTGGAGACTTCCAATAGATTTTTTGGGCATGTCGAAATAACACCACAGACAGAGTTTAATCACCATGGGAAAATCTCACAGTAAAACAAGCAGCTGTGCAAAATATGATACAATATGTTTTGCCAGATGAGAAGTTTATTTATGTATACATTTTATTACTCTTTTAATTCTTTTTATAACTGTATCCACTGTATGTCCGACTGATAGCACTCTATTCCTGTATTACACTGTATTCCTCCTTTTGATTCTAAACTGAACTCAAATGGCACTGAGAATTGGATAAGTGACAAACATAAATTACTTAATTGGGAACTTGAGAGATGAAACCATGCTGATGACCTGGGTCTGCGGTGGAGAAGTGAGTTTGATGTGTAATTAAACTCGAGGTTCTGTGGGGTGCGGACTGATGGGGCAGTGAACCCGAGGTTACCCTGTGAGTCAGTCCTAGAGCTCCTCCTATCCGATTTTAAGGAAAAATCGGGTCCATCGGAGACGTCCAATAGATTTCTTAGGCGCCGAAATAACACCACAGACCAGTTTAATCACCATGGGAAAATCTAAGAGTAAAACTGGGAGTTGTGAAAAATATGATACACAGTGTATCGGTGTTTTGCCAGATGAGAAGTTTATCTATGTGTCATCTTTTTACTCTTTTAATTCATCTCTTTTAATTTCTTATATATCTCTTTTAATTTTCCTTGCTTTTATTTTGTGATTATTTTAATTCCTTTCTGTAAAGCACTTTGAATTGCCATAGTGAAATGTGCTATATAAATAAACTTGCCTTGCCTTTAAAAGATAAAAGATCTAAATGCAGATCTTAAAGGGATAGTTCACCCAAAAAATGTAATGTTAGCCCATTGTGTGTAACCCAAAACGGTTGGTGGACCCCATTGACTTCCATAGTGTGGGCTATGGAAGTCAATGGGGTCCATCAACTGTTTGGTTTACCGACATTCTTCAAAATATCCTCTTTTGTGTTCAGCAGATGAAAGAAATTCATACAGGTTTGAAAGAAATTCATACAGGTTTGAAAGAAATTCATACAGGTTTGAAACGACTTGAGGGTGAGTAAATGATGACAGAATTTTCATTTTTGGGTGAACCATCCCTTTAAGAAAATGAAGCCTTATTTTAGTACCATTAAAGTAAAAATATCATTTCTTATTTATTTTGCGATGAAATATGAGAAGGACATGTTCTCAAAAGGTTTCACGAGACTCTCAATCCTCAACGCAAACGACTCACCTGGTGAACTGCGTCAGCTGCCGATGGTTGTCTGGCACGTCGAAGGGCTTGTACATGAAATGCCTGAGGTCAGACACTCCCACCTGACTAACGCTGTACGAGTGAGCTTTCGATATGGCGTTCAGCGCATTCTGCGCTTGCATAGCCTCCTCGATCTTCCTCTTACACTCGGCTACAGAATAAAACGCCTCTTTATCGGTGGAGAGAAGAACCAGACAAACAGTACATTCAGGAGGGTCCAGATAGGAGATGTATGCATAAAAGTAACAGTCAGGGTTAAAACTGGGCAGGCAGATGGGCGTCCAGATCTCCCCGGCCTGGAAGGCGGACGACGCCCCGATGAGGTTCAGCAGAAGGTGGAGGTCGGCAGGTTCCAGTCGGGCATCGTCGATGACCATCTTTTCCTGCACTATGGTGAGCAGCTGGTTCTTGGCTATGAGGATGGAGAAGACCAGGTTTGGCGTGATGGCCTTCTGGAGAATCTGACTGAGGGAGTCCCTGAGAGACGAGGCCAAGGGGAGACAGTGCACAGCGCAGAGTAAAAGGCTTGGGTCTGAGTCCACGAGGTTAAGGAGGCCGTCGAGAATCTTCTCCGAGCCGGCCAGCAGACGACGCAGGTCGTAGTTTTTCTTGTGCTCGAAGATGCGGGTGATGCTGGCCTGCGTGAGCATGCTGACGATCTGGTTGTAGACGTAGAGAAGCTCATTCCGGAGCTGCTGCTCTGACTGACGGCTGCTGGAGACGGACACCAGCACCAGAGGACCCCGCTGCATGAACACAACCGTGTGCTCGTCTATCAGGAGAGAGGACACCAGATGAAGTTATTTAAGCCGTTGATTCGTCGTTATTTAGGTAGATGATTCATTGTTCTTTGGTCTAATAGACATCAGCTACGTTTTCACAAGTGTGAACAATATACACTACCATTTAAACGTGTGGGGTCAGTAAGATGTATTAACAGTGTTCACAAAAATATTAAGGAGCAAAACTCTTTTTAACATTGGTAATGAAGAACAATTGAGAAGAAATGTTTCTTGAGCACTAAATCAGCATGTTAGAATGATTTCTGAAGGATCGTGTGACACTGAAGACTGGAGTAATGATGCTGAAAATGCACCTTTGCCAAAAGGAATAAATTACATTTTAATATGTAATAAAATAGGAAACAGATATTTAAAATTGTAATAATATAGTAAAATATTACTGTTTTCACTGTATGTTTGATTAAATAAATGCAGCCTTGGTGAGCGTAAGATATTTTTTTCAAAAACGTAAAAAAAAATGAACGGTGGTGAATGTTTTTATATAAAATATAATAAAGAATAGAAAAAAGCTTTTCCCTTTAAAACTACAGCTAAATAACTTGATAAATGTTGGTAAAACTGAGTCAAATACACTGATTGTATGCATGTTTGTCACATTTTTTCTTGAAAAAAAAATAAAGAAAAGATTTTCATAAAAATTTATTTAAAGGATTTTCAATAAAAGATAGACTGGTCTTGTCTGACAAACTTTGCATATTTTTACTCACTAAAAAAAACAGTTCATGTTACAAACCTAACAATATTCAACTACATGAAAAATCAAATCAGTGAAATTAAATTATACACTTTAAGATCCATGATTTCCTAGTCAGTGTCATGAGATAGATGGAGGAGCTAGCTCATTATAGAGAGCACCTGATTGGACAAAGATTTGTATACGCCCCCGAGTGCAAGATGAGTCATCAATATTTCCGGTCTGTTTTCCCAGAAGAGAAAGATTACGAATAAATTAGCTAATAAAGCATGCTCTTTTCCATCAGTTCGACGTCCCAAAGAACTTACCGGAGTAGACTGAACGGATGATGTTGTCTCCACTTTGCACAAAGGACACCAGCGCCATCATCACTCCCATAGTGGAGGACAGAGCCTCCTCACTTCCATATCGGGAATAAATGGGCTTCCCAGCCTCACTCAACACAAACACATGCTTCCTGTGCAGTCTCCAACTTTCCGCCGTCACATCCTCGTTCCTGTGCGAAGGAGGTCCCAGAGGTGTACCGGTCTCGCATAGAGGGGATGAGGCTCCTTTCATTCCCATTCCCTGCTCTTCCATCTTCCCCCGGGCTAACACGGTTACAACAAACTCACTCGAGTCATCATGGCCATTGTCAACTAATGCAGAGTCCTCGGATGCTTTCCCAGAATCAGTCTCCGAACCACCGGCACACAGAGACCTGTCATCATCGATGTGGAGCTTCTGCATATCTGTTGAAGGCTCTTGCGGTTGGTTGCTTTCCTCTGATGTAGGGTCTGCTGAGTCCAAGAGCCCCTCTGGGTCTGAAGGCATCCTGTGGTCTTCATTCACACAGTGGTTTTCTGATGGGACATCACTGTCCGAATAAGCTAAATCTGGAGAGTAGGGTAGAATCAAGTCTGCATTAGCATGTTACCCACTATAACACAAGTTTAAACTAGTAATAAAACGGCACCATCCAAAACATTACCTATCTGATCAAGACATTGTGAAAGAATGGATGGATCAAATATCTTCACTTCCTCCATATTCCCACTCTGTTGACTGCTCGGATCCATGACAACATGCAAAACAACTGAATTTGAAATTGAGAAAGTGACTTAATGACACCCATCAAATAGCAAATATATCAGTAAGTATTTAACTAATAAAGGATTCGTACTTCGTGTGCAACAGTGAAGTCTAACACGTTTAATCTGATTACTGCTGTTATCCCATATCTGCACGGCTCGTGGAGTGTAACACCGTCACGCACGTCTTCTGCCGCAGATAGTTTAAAAACAATGGATGACTTTAATAAATAAGATTAACTGGTTAAAATCATAGAACTGTATTAACCAGATTACCAGACAGAAAGCTAATCTACGGTATTTATGGAAAAAGCTAATGATCTCCCCGATAAATGACTCCTCGAGTGAACTATTTCACTACTCGTCATAATCATATACATGTCTGGTGGAATAAATTATTAACGATCATTAAAAACCAAGATCATCTTTCGTTTTTGCTCAGCGCAACTGACTCAGCCGCCACCGGTGCTCCAGGAAGCTTGACGTTAAAAACACTGCAAAACAAATATCCACAACCACTTCCGGTTGACATATTTCAAAATAGAGGACCATAATGAAATGCAATGCAAGTATATTTAAAAGTGTGAGACGACCAGTGAAAAATAATCCAGTCATTTACTATGTATAATTATATTTACATTCTCTCTCTCACACACACACATATGAGATTTCACCTTTTTTTACTTTACTCAAAAATATATACATTTTACAAACTTTTCTTTTACCAATTACTGTAGCAGTTAGGGGATATGTGTTATAGTATGTTAAGATATTCAATACAGTATCTCAGGTTTCACTAAATGCTTTTGACAGTGTACAAACATCAACATATGATTTTGAATTGTTTATTGATTATCTTTATATGTCCTGCAGCTTGCTGTGCTGCATTGGTCTATATAGCAAAAATTAGGGGGGAAAAAGATCACAACATTTTCAACATTCATATACTAATTAGTATAATTTATTGTGCTCAAATAATGAAAACACCTGATAATAATAAACAGTTGAGATGATATTTTTAATATTAATTTTACAATGTTTATTTAAACATGCACCTAACTAGGTCCATGGAGTTTAATGACATGAAGGAAAATGGGTTAGCAAAAAAAGAAAAGAAAAAAACTGGGAAAGATCAGTATACAGTGGTATTTATAAAGAGGGGTGAGGATGAAACATTGTATGGTGTTGAAATAAAGAAATGCAGCTGTTCAATGGTTTGTGCTGCAAGTTATGCTGTCCAATATATCAACTACAGTCTGGAGAAGATTCTCTGTGCATTGCATTTTTCTTCAAGTTATCGAGGTATTCTTGTTGTGAAGCGGCCAGAACTGAAGCCAGAACGTCATCATCTTCCCAATCTGTTAAACCTAAAAAAAATTAACCACCTAATTAACAAAGACATGAATTATAAGTAAACAAACATTTCTACTAAAGCGTATAATGCCGTACCAAAGGCAGCAGGTGACATATCCTGCATTAGTGTCCTGTACCCCAGGGTTGGGTAGAGAGACACCAGGGAAGAGTTGGCAGAAGACTGGTGACTTGGACCTTGAGAAGAAATCAAGGAAGAACGTCTCCGGTTACTATCGTAACCTCGGTTCCCTGAGAGGCGGGAACGAGACATTACGTCATACTGACGTATATGGGAACTCCTCCCCTTCTCCATTTTCACTGAAATCTTATAGATTAACGCCAGCTGGAGACAGCTGGCCAATTGACGCAAAACATGCAAATGCTGACCGGTCCGCGGGCAGTATAAAAAGCATGGGCGCGACAATTACGTCAGAATCAAGACTGAACGCTAGCACAGCTGATCAAACGGCGAGCACGGCGGTTGACGTAATGTCTCGTTCCCGCCTCTCAGGGAACCGAGGTTACGATAGTAACCGGAGACGTTCCCTTTCAAGGCGGTCACTTCGACATTACGTCATACTGACGTATATGGGAACTGTATAGAATTCCGCCGTGAGCGCAGTGAAGATAAGCCCTGAACGGGGTCAAGCTACACTCCCACAGGAACAACAGTTCTAAGCCAGCAGCGCCGCTAGGAGCACTCAAAACTGATAGGCGAAATTAGACCAACGTCTGCTCCGGCTTACCAAGTTGCGCATCCACTGCAATGAGGCGAAGGCTGCACTGGACAGGGCAGCACAACACCATAAGCACTCGAGCACAAGAGCTAACACAGTGTCGACGGCATAGCGGTGACAGCTGCATAACCTTAAGCCACACACAGAGTTAACAGTACGTTGGAACTACTGCGTAATGTGGAAACAGCTATGTAACCTTATAGTCATAACCCAGAGTTAGCAGCAATGGTAACTCTGCAACACAGACTACTGCACAGCTGGTGGTAAGTTTCATGAGTACATTGATAAAAACTCACCGAACCCACGACGCTAAGGTGGTGCATCAAACTTGGAACCCTGGCGAATGTGTTCTGAGAAGACAGCCAGCATACCAAGTCTCTGTATAAAACAGCACGTCCCTAGTACCATCCACCAAGCACACAAACAGCTGGTAGACTGCTGCCTAGTGATCCACGTACATCCACAAATCCCTTACAGGGCCAACATCACTCTGAGCATCGGCATCATGCGAGGCTGAAACTCAGCAGATAAGGCGGGCAGGGATCAACCTGTGCTCCGAACGGCGTAAGCGACTTCGGAACGTAGCTTGGCATCGGACTGAGAGTGACGCTGCAGTCATCAGGTCCGAGACAATGCGACAACATTCACTAGAATGAGCGTAAGTCTCCAAGTGCTTCGCTGGGGCGAGAGCCGGTGGTAAGGCCATCTCAAGGAGAGCTCGTCTCAGCACTTGTCAGTGTGAAGTGTCTTGCTCAACTAAGGACCCAGCAGCGGACACACAAGAAGGTTCCACAGCTTGGGGCTGGGGTGCCACCTTGTAGAACATAGCCGATGTTCTACAGCCAACGTACAGAAGTGCAATCAACACATAACTGAATGTACATAAACACAGTGTCAGTGGCCGTAGCGACGACAACTGTGAATATACGCAATTAGAAAATAGCCCCATAATAGCATAGCACCTCAGTAAGCAAACAAACACAGTCATAACTGTAGCTACAACTGTGAAAATATGAGTTTGCACAGAATAACTAGTTGCCCTGATAGGAACGGGGCAATATAACAGCGTAGCACATGCACGTACAGCATAGGTCGCTGTAGCGCCAACTTAATACACGCAGTTAGCTCCGTATTAGGCTGAAAGGCAACACCGCTGCATGAACACACCCATTTGTAAATAAATGCAGCGCATGTCGCCGTATCGACGGAGACTGTGAATATGCACAGTCTGACTGGGATAGCTAGTTGCACTGAAATACAGGGCAACATGGCAGCATAACACAAGTGAGTAAGGAATAGCGCATCCTTGCATGTACATAACGCAGCGTAAGTCGCTGTAGCAACAGAGACTGTGTAGAGACAGAAACTAAGATGCATAGTTAGATTAGGATGGCTAGCAGCACTGAAGGAAACAGGGCAGCATTACAGCATAACACATCCGATTACGTACATGCATCCAGAACTGTGAATATGCACGGTTAGATTAGGATAGCTAGTTTTGCACTGAAGGAAACAGGGCAACAAAATAGCAAAAACACGTCCTTGTACGTGCCGTGTAGTCGCCATAGCGACAGAACTGAATATGCAGTTAGATAGGATAGCTGGATGTTGCACTGAGGATAGAGGGCAACATAACAGCATTACCCATCAGTGTGCACATATCAAGCATCTGAGTGTATAATGCGGTGCAAGTCGACGAAGCGACCGAGACTGCATGAATATGCACAGTTCACATAATGGTCAGTTACGTTAGCAACATAACTGCATAACGCTTCAGTGTGGACACAGATGCAGCGCAAGTCGCCGTAGCGACAAACTGTGACTATGCACAGTTAGATAGGATAGCTAGGTGCACTGAAGGATACAGGGCAACGCGTTAGCATAGTCACATTAGTGTGTACAAAAACACAGCGTCAGAGGCATCGCGACATCGACTGTGAATACATAGTAAGTCAGAATAGCCGGTTGCACTGATGATACAGGGCAATATTTAGCGGCGTAAACATAGCACATCAGTGCGTAGCGTGTACACAGCGTCAGTTGCCCCGCACAACAACTGTGTACGTAATCAGAATAGCCATTTGCACTGAAGGATACAGGGCAATGTACGACGGCATAAATCATAACACATACAGTGTGTAGAGTGTACATAGACACGGCGTCAGTTGCATCACACGACAACTGTGAATATGCACTGCGTAGTAATCAGAATAGCCATTTGCACTGAAGGACACAGGGCAATATACAATGGCATAAATCATTACACATAACAGTGGGTTGTATGTACGTAACACAGTGTCAGTTGCATCGCACCACACTGTGAATACGTAGTAATCAGAATAGTTATTTGCACTGAAGGACACAGGGCAAAATACAAAGGCAAAACTCATAACACATAGTGTGTAGTGTGTACATAACACAGCGTCAGTTGCATCGCACGACAACTGTGAATACGTACTGCATAGTAATCAGAATAGCCATTTGCACTGAAAATTACAGGGCAATATATAATGGCATAAATTCCAACACGTAACGCTGTGTAGTGAGTACGTAACACAGCGTCAGTCGCTTGCACAACAACTGTGAATACGTAGTAATCAGAATAGCCATTTGCACTGAAGGATACAGGGCAACAACGGTAAAATTCATAACGCAGTGTACAGTGTGTACGTAACACAGCGTCAGTTGCATCGCAAGACTGTGAATACGTAGTAATCGGAATAGCCATTTGCACTGAAGGAAGGAACAGGGCAATATGTAATGGCATAAATCATACACATAACAGTGCGTAGTGTGTACGTAACACAGCGTCCGTTGCAACGCAACAACTGTGAATACGTAGTAATCAGAATAGCCAGTTGCACTGAAGGGTACAGGGCAATATCGTGGCATAAGCATAACACACACATATCAGTGTACATAAACACAGCGTCAGTGGCATCGCACAACTGTGAATCAGAATAGCCATTTGCACTGAAGGATACAGGGCAATTTATAGCGGCATGAATCATGAACACATATCAGTGTGTAGAGTGCACGTAAACGCAGCGTCATTTTATCGCACAACAACTGTGAATACGTGGTAATCAGAATAGCCATTTGCACTGAAGAAACAGGGCAGCATATAACGGCGCAAATCTTAGCACATATAGTGTGCAGTGTGAACATAAACACAGCGTCAGTGGCTTAGCGACAACACTGTGAAAACGTGGTTAAATCAGAATGGCCAGTTGCACTTAGGGATACAGGGCAATATATAAGGGCATAACAGTTAAATCATAGCACAAATCAGTGTGCAGTGTGTACATAAACACAGCGTCAGTGGCGTAGCGACAACAACTGCGATTATGTGGTTAAATCAGAATGGCCAGATGCACTGAGGGATACAGGGCAATATATAAGGGCATA